TCGTTTCCGGAAATATCATCTTCATCGTCAAATGATAACTTAAATTTTTTTAATTTGTTTGTCACCTTTTTAAATAGAATTATATCACAAACTTTTTTTGTTTAATGAAATTTCGACAAAAATTCTCTAACACATTTAAAAAATTTTTTTCCCTTGTACTTTTCAAAGAATTAAAAACTTTTATAATTTGGATCCAAAAAAGTGGCACATAATAAAACCAAGTAATTGTAATATACTGTAGCTTGCAGGGCCGGCACAAATAGGTAACACGTAGAGAGTGCCGTTAAAATTTTACTTACTAGAAATAGGAAAAAAAAATTATTGTTTTTATTTACCAACTGACTGTTCTGAAAATCTACATTTGCCAACTTACTTATCTAAAAGAGTCAAATTGGCTTACTAAATGAGCTAAAAGTTCATTGATGGGATGTCACACACGAAACCAACCAATCCATCCTTACACCCCTTTGCGTTGGCCTTGGTAGCTTATTCAACTCTATAGATATTTGTGTTTTACTATGTTTACTTTTTAATTTTTTATGAAAAATTTTCTTGAAGTATCTTGTTTATAATATTTTCTTGAAGTAAATTATTTTGATATTTTTTTATTTTTGCGGTATTATGCGATAAAATGATTATGCATTCGCAATCTTATTCAAAAATTTTAATAGAAATGATATCATGTACCCAAATTATTTATATTATATATTTATAAAATTCTTTAGTTGGACTAAAAACAAAGTCGCGTATATTTAGTTAACAAAAAGCTTAGTCGTTTAATTTTAGTTAACTAAAAAGTTAGTCGACTGATTTTAGTTAACTAAAATGTTAGTCGGGTAATTTTAGTTAACTAAAAAGTTAGTCGGGTAATTTTAGTTAACTAAAAAGTTAGTCGCGTAATTTTAGTTAACTAAAAAGTTAGTCGACTGATTTTAATTAACTAAAAAGTTAGTCAACTAATTTTAGTTACGGTATTTTTAGTTTAGTTAGTTACAATTTTTAGTTTTGGTCACAACACGTTAACATTACTCAAACAGCAAGAAAAAAACGTTAAAACGTTTTTTTCTTGTTGTTTGAGTAATGCTTCCGTTTGATTTTGCATTTCTTTCTTGAATTTCATGAACATTTTTTTTTAACATTTTTTTTAATTTCTGATAATGTTGCCATGATATATAAAAATCGAGTTCAAACAAAATATCTATACTTATACAAAATACGAAAAAAAAATGTAAGTTTATATTTATATTTCTTCGTGTTTGCAAATTTAGAAAGATTTATGAAAGCTGTTAAAAACACATCTGTTCACTACGCAAGCTGATTTGCAAAAAAATTTACCCAGCAAACAATAGACGTCTTTTAGACCGTCTAAAATTGGTCTAATTTGTATCTATTGGCGATACGTATATTTTAGACGTGTATTAGAGATCAAAAAGACGTCTGATTCTAGAGATACTATTTTTGCTCTGTTTTAGATGCATATTAGATGCATAAAATAGATCGTGTATAGATAATTTTTTTTTCATCTCAACTTAGATGTCTATAAGATGTCTTATATAGATTTGTTATAAAAACAAGAAAAAAATTTTAATTAATTTTACGGAGCGATATTATAAATGACCGCCATTTTAAAAACCCTGCGGAAACTTCTTTCGAAAAAAGCATGTAGATTTTAACCTATGGAAGACATCAATGATTATTTCTTTATGATAAATTTTTAATAATGAAATAACATGCTATTATAAAATGTATATATACATATATATATATATATATATATATATATATATATATATATATATATATATATATATATATATATATATATATATATATATATATATATATATATACATATATATATATATATATATATATATATATATATATATATATATATATATATATATATATATATATATATATATATATATATATGTATATATATATATATATATATATATATATATACATATAATATATGTATATATATATGTATATATACATATATATATATATATATATATATATATATATATATATATATATATATATATATGTATGATATATATATATATATATATATATATATATATATATATATATATATATATATATATATATATATATATATATATATATATATATATATATATATATATATTGGTTGTGCACTTATCGTTTTTACCGAGGAACCAAGATTCATTTATGTCTTTTACAAAAAGGGCATATGAAAAGAGACGCAGTAGACGTGTCTAAAAAGAATATTAAAAAATACTAGAATTTTCATCAGTACATATAGAAAAAAAATCGAATGTTGGAACTTCTAAAAGAAATGATTTCTTATCTTGCGAAAATCTAAAAGAATATTTTGACCATTATGAGTCATCGATTTTGTACAATGAATACTCTTATGACCAAAAGCCTAATGAGTATAAGCATAAGCCAACTTTAAAGGAAAGTTTTTCTGCATGTTTTTCTAACCAAGTAATTATGCACTAAACAAGTGGATTGACAAAGAATAGCAACAAATTTATTGTCCCAAAAAAAACTATAATCATGCACTGAAATTAATGAAAATAAACTGTTTTGTGATCTACAATTTGGTTTTCGAACAAACTACTCTACATCACTTGCTTTACTAAGTCTAACAGAAAAAATTAAAAATTCTCTAGATAAAGGAATGTTTGGATGTGGTATATTTATTGATCTTCAAAAGGCATTTGACACTGTAGATGTTGACATTCTACTCTATAAACTATCCTACTATGGTATTAGAGGAGTTTCAAACTCCTGGTTTAAATCTTTTCTTACTAATAGAACTCAATTAGTATCTATTGGTGGAGTGAACTCAAACTTAAACGATATCAATGTAGGTGTTCCTCAGGGATCTGTCCTTGGCCCTTTGCTGTTTCTTATTTATATAAATGACATGTCTAAAGCATTAAAATTTTGTCAAGTCCAACACTTTGCAGATGACACAAACCTTCTCTACTTTAATAAATCTGTAAAAAAAAATCAACAAATATGTTAACCTATGTTATTATATATTAACAAATATGTTTTACCTAAAGAAACTATGCAATTGGCTTAATGCAAACAAAATATCCCTCAAATCCAAAAAAACTGATTTAATATTATTTAAAAGTCCCCACAAAAAATTAAACCAACAGATCAAAGTTAAATTAAATGGGAAAAAACTTTATTGTAAAAAATTTGTTAACTACTTGGGTATAAAGCTAGACGAAAACTTAAACTGGGCTTATCATTATAACGATATCTCTAATAAGTTGAATAGATCCCTTGCCATTCTATCAAAGCTAAATATTTCATTCAACAAAAAACTTTAAAATCTATTTACTATGCTTTATTTCACTCTCTCCTCACATATTGCCTTTTATCATGGAGTCAAAATATGAGTATTATTAATCGCCTATTTATCATGCAGAAAAAAGCAGTCAGAATTATTGAATTTCTTCCAAAAAATTCACATACATCCACATCTTTTAACACATTGCATATCTTAAAAGTACACGATTTAATTAAAATTGAAAATTGCTTATTTATTCACAGCTGCCTTAATAAAAAACTGCCTCCTATATTTGATGAATGGTTTACTCAACGCAGTGCAATTAGCAGCTGATTTACAAGAAATTCTTGTAGCGGTGCAAACATATAATACAAAATCCTATGGTAAACAATCTTTTAAATACTCTGCAATAATGAACTGGAATCAACTTCAAAATAAATTAAAAACAATCCCTTTTTGCAATATTAAAAAATATACTCTCAAAAATAAATTAAAATACTACCTGATAAATCAAGATAATTTAAAACAATAAATGAATCGTTGGTGATAAAAGATTTATGGCAATAGAAGTTATAGGAGATATGATATAAATATGAATGTTAAATAATAGCAACTTTATGTGAATGTATTAGCTAGCTTGTTTGTTTGTTTGTTTTTTTTTGTTTTTTTTTATGCTTTGTTTTTCTTTCGTTTTTGTTTTGCTCATGGTCGCTCTCCTCGATTTAGCCAGGCTATATGAGAGTGAACCATCCAGAATATAGGCTATACATATATTTTTTTTTATTTGTATTTTATAACATGCTTATTGTAAAACATCTATATTCTTGGTAAATATATTGCTTTTTGTTGTTGTTGTTGTTGTTGTTGAAAAACATTCTTTTGTCAACAAAAGAATAGCACAAATTTCCATTGATAAAGTGTAAGATAACAGATAGTCAGTATCTAACTTGTTTTGTGTTTTTTTAAAGGTAACTTAATTACTTTTTTGTAGCAAAATGTTTTATAATTAGATTCATTTTCATGTTGTGAAGAATACAACTTTCTACATCAGATGAAATATATGTTAAAGAAAACATTAAAAATAAGAATAACAAATCATACCGCTCTTCATGTCCAGAACCTCCGCCACCTATTATGAATAAGCCCAATGCTAAAAGTATAACACAAATATCATATTTTTTTCTTAATGGTTTATAAACTGAAATAGATTCTTGTTTAATTTGATCTGAATAATATCTATCTAGCTATTAGTCTTTTTTATGTATTACTAAGATTTTCCTTTTATTTTAACTATTTGGGTGTCCTATTACATGTAATGTTGTTAAATTGGTTACATATATTTATATCATTGACAACACTCTATTGTATTAAATAATCCTTTAATCAACTTGATATGAAAAATTGAAAATTGATTGAAAGCATGCTGAAGTTGTTTAAATTCAGAAATTGAAAGAGTACAAAATTGGTTGAAAGATTAAATTAAGTAACAGGTATGGTTGAGGGATTATTTATAGTTCTAATTATAATTATTTCTTTTGAATAGAGTTGTTATCAGATTCAAAGATTGAAGAAGATAATTTTTCTTCACATTTTATTGATGAACAGAATAAAACAAAACAAAGTTCACATTGTCAAAGAGTTTCAAGTTTTATTATGAGTATTTTTGGTTTTTACACCACTGAATGTTAATGTGGAGGTCTTTTTTATTAATTTGTTTTTGTATTAAAAAAGTTGTATTATTTTAATACAAAAAAAGATAGATATAAAAGAATAAAAATGGATTATTTATAATATTGTGATCCGATAAATCATGTGTAGCATTTTACCTTTAGTAGTTAAACAAAATTCTTTAATATCGTAACCTTATACAGGATAAAGTTTTAGCTGATTTAAAAAGTAAGTTTTCCAAAATATTATGGCAACTTCTGTGATGGAGTAATAAAAAAAACTTACATGTATTTTTGGAATTTTAGTTTGAGTTACTCAAGCATAATTTGAATTTTAAAGTTCTTATTTCATTGTTTTTGCTATTTGGTTTTATGAGCTAAATATGTTAATCAATCTTTTTATTCTTGTTTGTAGAGATGCAAAATGTTATTCTCAATGAGCTTACAGAAATAAAAGTTCTTTTAAAAGAAGTTATAGAAATTAAGTTTCAGGCTACTTTGGTGAAGTTGCTAGAATCAGTGGACGAAGTGGTTACACTGACTAATAAACTAAAAGATAAAACCGAGTATACTAATTTGGTATAATCTAATTATCTTAATTTTTAATAAGTTTGTTTAAATTTGGTTTACTAGTTTAGAATCTAAATGAAAAGTATTTGTAAATGAACTAAAATAACTAGCTTGTGTTAGACTCAATATGTTGTAAAGAAATTTAAGTTACACTAGTTTTTATTACATTTATTTTAGCTTGATAGTTTGAAAAAGATTGGTGGTGGAAAGCCTAGAGAACATGTTTTTTTGATCATGAAAAGGTAAATGATTATGTTTTTATTAATTATTAGAAGTATGATTAAAAGGGACCAAAAGCAATTTATTTTGACCGTTATTTGTTATGGATTTACTTTTAACATGACAATTTGATAAACTCGGTAGCTTCACTGTAGGTGTTTAAGTTTGTTTGTGTGCTAAAGTAAGTGTAATGCTAAATCTTGTTTAGCATTTTATTTTCAAATTTAATGTTTTTACTTTTCATAATTTTAAGCATTCATATATTATAATATATTTTAATTTATTACATATATCAAAATAAAAATCTTTATAAATATATTTCAGTTTATTGTTAAAATATTTATCAGGTTATTTTCGAATCAGTTACAGTCCAAATTTAATCGAAAAGGAAATGGGGAAAATATAAGCTTAGAAAATATAGTAAATATATGACGTGTTTTACGAGGTATAGTTTTAATAGTATTTGCAAAACTGATATCTGTTTAAAAAAGATATTCTTCGACTTTTTTTGTGTCATGCTAGAATTTTTGTATCCATAATACAAGTTCCTTTAGTTTTTTCATAAAAAAATTGTTGTTTATTATTGTATCTGGTTGAGATACAAATCTTCTTGTATATATATATATATATATATATATATATATATATATATATATATATATATATATATATATATATATATATATATATATATATATATATATATATATATATATATATATATATATATATATATATATATATATATATATATATATATATATATATATATATATATATAAATATATATATATATACATACACATGTATATATATATACACATGTATATATATATATATATATATATATATATATACATGTATATATATATATACACATGTATATATATATACACATGTATGTATATATATATATATATATATATATATATATATATATATATATATATATATATATATATATATATATATATATATATATATATATATATATATTTATATATATATATGTGTATATACAGTATTGGACAAAACATTTGCAACCAACATCGAACAATGCTAAAAAGTGTTCCTAATTTTATATGTCTTAAAAATGAAACAAACTATACTACCACAGCAAACAGTTCAGAAGTCTGGAGTCATAGCATGCCATGATATGAGCAATCAGCTGACAGGTGACAGCACTGGCAGAATTTTGTTGACAAGTGCCATTTTGCAGCATACAAAACAAGTGCAACTTTTTTGGTTTATTTCATTTTCTCAAGTCTGGTCCTTGTCAACGTCACAGAAGTTTTTTTATATACCAATAAAATAGGTTTTTCAGCAAGACAACGATCCCAAACACACTGCAAAAAAAGTCAAGCAGTGGTTTCAAGACAACCATCTATTGGTGATGGATTGGCCGCCTCAATCTCCGGATCTCAACCATATCGAGAACCTGTGGGAGATCGTTAACCGCAGAGTTAATCATGAATGTGTCCGTAATAAGGATCAACTGTTTGAACAAATCCAAAAGGCCTAGGCAGCGATTCCACAAAGTTTCATTGATCACCTGATCGAATCTATCCCTTAAAGATGCAAGGCTGTGATCAACAACAAAGGATTCACCACAAAATATTGATAGCAAAATACAGCTTGGTCAATATTTTGTGGAGTTGCACTTGTTTTGTGCAGAAGGAAATCAACTTTTTTTAATTCTTTTGATTAATTTATTAATTTTCGTGTACAAATAGTGAACTTTGTGATGAATAAAATTTGAAGAACGTTGTCTCTAAACAGTTACATAGTTATTTCTCTAAATTGAAAAAATGCAGCCCTTTTATACAAAGAAACTAAATTTGCATCATTTGGTTGCACTGGTTTTGTCCGATACTGTATGTATGTATATATATATATATATATATATATATATATATATATATATATATATATATATATATATATATATATATATATATATATATATATATATATATATATATATATATATAATATTCCATAAAAATAGATTCAGAATTCTACATGTCTTTTAAAGTCATTTAAATGTCATTAATGTATATATTTTAGATATCGGCGACGTGGAAGAAAATGTTGACGGCAATGCAGAAATATAGTTTCTTATGTATATTTTTGTGAAATAAAAATTAAGTAATGTTAGTTAAAATGTTTCTTTACTTATTTAATCTAATCCTTTTTTATGACTAATTTAACCGCTGTAACACCTTTGTATCAAACAAGTCCCAGCAAACAAAAAGATATCTAAAATGCATCTAATATGCATCTAAAAACTGGTCTAAAAGACGTCTAAATTCACGTCGTGAACGGGACATAAATAGATGTCTATCTTATAGATGTCTTTTAGATGCATTTTATTCGACACAAATAAATGCCTTAGATGCATAAAAGATGTGAAATATACATTTAAAGATGAATATTAGATGTATATTAGATGCATAAAAGAGCTATTATTAGCAAAAAAAATTTTTATTATCTATCTTTTTTAAACGCGCCTTAGACATCTATTTAAGAGACGTATTTTATACATCTAATATGCATCTGTAAGATGTATATTTCACATCTTTTATGCATCTAAGGCAATTATTTGTGTCAAATAAAATGCATCTAAAAGACGTCTATAAGATAGACGTCTATTTATGTCCCGTTCTAGACCTAAATTTAGACATCTTTTAGACCAGTTTTTAGATGCATTTTAGATATCTTTTTGTTTGCTGGGTATTTGATACATAACCTTTTTTTTTGAGGAACACTGTCAAATGCTTTAGTAAAATCTAAAAAATGTATTACTTAATACCAGCTTGTAAACACGTTAATTTTAACATATATTTCCAAAATTTAAAAAGTTTTTATTTCAAAGTTTAGAACCGCTTTTGAACCTTTTTTCTATCTCTTCCCAGCTCTTACTGGATTCTTTTGCATCTGTGGTTATAATTTTTTTCACTTCAATTTCATCAAGCCTTTCCAGTTCATTGTCTAGAAACTTTAGGCAAAGCGGTCAGCGTACTCTGAAACTTTTTTAGTTTAAACTTCAATTTAAACTTATTATTTTTTTTTATTTAATTTTTAAATTCATAAATCTTTAAAATCTTTTAAGATTTTCTACTCACATCACTCACACTCACATCACTCACACTCACATCACTCACATTCACATCACTCACACTCACATCACTCACACTCACATTCACATCACTCACATTCACATCACTCACATTCACATCACTCACATTCACATCACTCACATTCACATCACTCACATTCACATCACTCACATTCACATCACTCACACTCACATCACTCACATTCACATCACTCACATTCACATCACTCACATTCACATCACTCACACTCACATCACTCACATTCACATCACTTACATTCACATCACTCACATTCACATCACTCACATTCATATCACTCACATCACTCACACTCACATCACTCACACTCACTTCACTAACTTCACTCACATTCACATCACTCACACTCACACCACTCACATTCATATCACTCACATTCACGTCACTCACATTCACATCACTCACATTCACATCACTCACATTTATATCACTCACATTCACATCACTCACATTCACATCACTCACATTCACATCACTCACATTCACATCTAGGAATAAAATAAGGGCGGCGGGCAATCCTTAAAAATTGCCAACTGTTTTCTAAAGAAAAAAACTTTCTCAAAAATAAATGCTAAATGAATGTGAAATCCCGTCTAACCAACTATATTCCTGAAAAAACCAATTACAAGATGAAAATCGCCTTCTTTGAAGGGTAACATCCCCCGTAAAATTGCCCTGACTCACTTTAATATCGGATCTGTCTAAATCTGTCTGATAACTACTGATATTTATTTGTAAAAAATATTTCCTTTTTTTTGTGTGTGCGTGTGTTTTAGAGTTATAGTGTTGAGAGAGGGTTATAACCACAATTAAGCACGTCCTGGTCTGTAGTATTTTTATTTTAATTCACCATGTGGAAGTGAATTAACTTAAAAAAGCTATATATAAAAAGCTAAAAAATTCAATTATTTCTTATGAAACATTTTATGACTTTACAAATTTCCATGTCAAGCATAATTAGAAGAATTGAGAAAATTTTTTTACAAAAATATCGATAATAAAACCTCTACCTTATAAATAAAGAAGACCCTGATTTCTTGAAATGTGTCATTGTAAAATAGCAAAAATTGAAGCAAACAGAGTTATGAGAAAATGTCTAATTCAAAGAGTGTGGAGGCATAAGCATAAAATTTTAAAAAATGAAACAAAATGTTAAGCAGAAACAAACTCTGAATGTTTTGTATTGTAGCGTGTCTTAATTAAATTAAAAGAATTACCCAGCAACCATTATTTTAAAAAAAATCACCGGCTGCGATTTACTAATTAAACAAAATCATCGTCTGTTGGCATTGCAACGTTTAGATGCAATAAGAAAAACAGCACGAAAACTAGTTAAAGGACCTGGAAAACGAAAATTTTAACTGAAAAAATTATTAGAGCAGTTAATAAACGGAGCCTAAACGGCAGGATAAGAATACCATTTGTTTTCCTCAGTTTTAAAACCGGCCGTTTAGAGTTTTTTATTTAACGGACACTTAAATTCTCCGTTTAACGGAGAGAAGAGAATATGGCTGCTCATAAATACACAATCAGTAAAAGGATTGTTTTGAAGTATAAAATATATTAAAATTTTATGCTTTTAATTCGTCTCTTTATTTTTCCAGTTAATATTTCAACTTTTCACACTTTAATATGTTATGAGTTTTGTTGATAACTGAAACTTTTCTCTAAATTATGTCACTAAATACCTGTTGATAGCAATTTAAACAAATTAACTCAATATTACTTATGTTGAATTTTAAAAAGCAGTTTTTTAAAGAAACCAAAGAAATAAATTATTCAGAAGTACCCCCGTTTATTTCTACAATAACAAATTAGTTGCAAATTAGTGAAATATAATGATTTTTTACGCTTTAGTATCGTATTTAAATGTAATTTAAAATTTTTAAAAAGATTTTAGTTTTAAAAAAGAAAACAGTAATACAAATAAAAGCAGAATTTCTTTCACGCGACATCTAAAGACCTGGCACTAATCCAAATCAAACCCAAAATACTGGAAAAATTGCTTTCTACGCTGAAATTTTAAACTATTTAATTTAATTATAAATTAAATAATAACTATAATTAATAAATTGACCTTAAACTAATTAAAATTGTAAAATTAGATTTTATAATTGACAACATTAGTAAAATCAAGTTGTCTTCTCTGTCTATATTACCCCACATTTTTTATACAATATAAACTTAGTCATTATATTAAAAATGACTTTTTTTTATTCTAGAAAGAATTTTTAGATTTGAACACTTTTAAATCTGGAGAACAAAAAAACACATTTAAAAAATTTTCTCATCAAATTCTTTGAAATTTTTCTGAAAATTTTCAAAATTTTTTCTAAACACATACAGTTATCAATTTTTAATACTTTTTAAAACTTTTGTTAACAATTTTAATAAAGTAATTCTCATTTTTCATCAAGTAAGTTCACAACAAATCACAAGACAAAATATACAATTAATGAGCTTCTAAGATTAAAAACTTCAATTTAAGACATTTACATACTTGCATTCACATAAAAGTCAGTCTAAATAATTCAAAAAAAAAACACCTAGGGTGAGTCGACACTTATCGTAGGTTTTAAATACTAACATAAATTTTGCAATAAGTAGTAATTATTTTTTTTATATATATATTTTGTTTATCAACAACATCGTCATGCACTTCTATTACAATACATAAAAATCGTAATACATAGTTACTTATATAAACTCAGTGGGTTTATTACGTCATATCATACTTATATAAACTCAGTGGGTTTATTACGTCATATCACACATATAAACTCAGTGGGTTTATTACGTCAGCCTATGAAAATACTTTTTTTAAGTACCAGCTGTTAGAAGCGTTTCAAATAAAACAAGATAATTTAAGAAAATAAGATAAAATTTTATTTCTAAATTGATTTAATAAGGTGAATAAAATATGGATCATTATTAATATTATTAAAACCACTCACCAATATAATATCAATGCAGTATTTTTGAACGTACGATAAGTATGAACAAAAAAAATGTCATTCCATACATATCGTATGTCCAATAAATAATCAACTTGGTTCTTTTTTACATTTAAAAAAAATTATTTTACTTAGATTCTTTTACAATGGCAAGACAAAAATATAAGACAAAAGTTTGTAGCTCAAAACGAAGACTTCAATATACAGATAGCCAATTAAGAGATGCTATTGACGCTGTTAAAAAAGGTATGGTTGTGTACAAAGCAAGCAAGACGTTTGGAATTCCTTTTCAGACGCTTTGTGATAAAATATCTGGAAAAACTTCTCTGAAGATACAACACTGCGGTTATGAATCAGTACTAGGTGAACACATTGAAACTAAATTAGACGAGTGGTTACTAACATGCACTAGAATGGGATTTGCCATGTCTGTAGTACAGCTATTAGATAGTGTGCAAAAATACTTGAATTCCAACAATATAAAAACACAATTTACTAACAACCGTCCTGCAAAAGGTTGGTTTTATGCATTTCTTCGCCGTCACGAATAGCTACCTCAAAAACGAGGTGAATACTTAAACCGAGCTAGAGGAGGAATAACTTAAAAAGCCATACAAGATTGGTTTACTGAAATTCGAAAGCTTTATGGATGAGAGTGGTTTTCAGTTGTCATCAAAAACTAATTTATTAATTGGTAAACGAGGAAAAAATACATATGAAGAAAGTGCTCGAAGTAATAAAAAAAGCATCACCACTTTATTTGCAGTAAATGCCAGTGGAACCTTTGCTCCATCATTAACAATTTTTATATATGATCGTCTTCCAAATAGAATTATAAATACTGCTCCATAAAAATGGGTAATTGGAAAAAGTGAAAATGGTTGCATGACCGCAGAATGTCTTTTTGAGTATATTACTAACAGTTTTCATCCAATTTTGATAAAAGAAGAAATTTCTTTACTAGTTATTTTTTTTTGATATCATGCGTCACATTTTTCTATCGAACTTAGTGAGTTTTGCTCTAAAAATAGAATAATTTTTGTTGCTTTGTTTCCAAATGCAACACATATTTTGTAGCCGCTCGATGTGGCAGTTTTTGGGCCAATGAAAGCAAAGTGGAAATTTTTTTGCCGACAATGGCGCATTGACCATTAAGGACAAGAAATAGACAATAAAAATGTACCAGAATTAAATTCATTTATAATCGATCCTTCTATGGCAAATAATGTTAAAAGTGCTTTTAAAAAAACCGGAATATTTCCATTTGATGCTAATAGTGTGGATTACGCAAAAATTGTTCAAAGATTATCTGAGTCAACTGTGGCTCTGACTCCTTATTTAGAAGAGAATTAAATAAGAGTGACTTTATCCGCTTCCTCTCCCATAAACTTTATTGAAAACTGCATTGATCCAAGTATTTTAGAGCAGTTTAAAATAGCTGAAGAACATTTAGGTTGGAAAGGTGATCTTGAATTACTCCAGCTGTATCATTTTTGGAAAAGAGCCTCATCTAAAACATATAAGACCACAATTTTACCTGATGAAATACAACAGGGTAATAAAAATCTATCAACAACTTGCAATTTAGAAAATGTGCAAGTTAAAACCGGTATGGAAATGCCTGATTGGAATATTGCAGCGGTAATAGAACCAAACCCAGTTTGTTCTAGTTTAAAAATAGCAGCAGAAATCATAAATCCAATTAAAAATGTTTTAATATGGCCTAAACAACCAGTCAAAACGTCCAAGCGCAAAATAGAACGTTTACCATCGGTTGTAACACTTAAAACGTGGCAGCAAATTCAAAAGACAAAATTGCAAGAAAAGTCACAATTAAATGATGAAAAATTAAAAAAGAGACAATTAGTTGCAGATAAAAAGTCAAAAAAAGAGGAAGAAAGATTAAGAAAGGCTATTGAGAAAAATTTATTCAATAAAAAAACTAAAAAAGAAAGAGAAAACATGAAAATTTTGCAAAAAGAAAAAGAAAGTCGCAAAAGAAAAAGTAAGCCTTGAAACTGAGTCAGAAAACGAGTTCCATTGTTAACAATAATTATAATATAAGACTCAGATAATTATGATGAAATTCTATCCTTTCCAGTTTAAAAGATTTGTACTAAAGTAATGGAAATGCTTTAAAAATCTTTAGTTTTAATTTAAAATAATATTTTCATTACTATATAATTAGTGTTTATTTAATAGTCTTTTTTTTTTTAATTTATATACCTAAAAACGTTTAATAAAATGTTACTAATGCATTAAATTTTTATTTGAAACCGCGAGCGCATTATAATCCAGTCACTAAAGCAGATTTTAAGATATACGATAAATTTCAACAATATATACGACAAGTGTGAAACGCTTACGATAAGTATGGAAAACTGCGCTTTAAAAGTTTGATCAAAATAAGTA